CCCCCCCCAACCATGGTCCTGGGGGGCTCCAGAGGGGCCCTGGGCTGTCCCAAAGGCCCCATATGGCCCCTGGACTCTATATGGCCCAGAAACACCCCTCACAGCCCCTGCAATGCCCTATATAGCCCCAGGATGCCCTATATGGCCCCAGGATGCCCTATATGGCCCCAGGATGCCCTATAGGGCCCCAGGATGCCCTATAGGGCCCCAGGATGCCCTATAGGGCCCAGAAACACCCCACACGGCGCCTATCACCACCTCTATGGCCCTGGGATGCTCTATATGGACCAGAAACACCCCACACAGCCCCTGTGATGCCCTATATGGCCCTGGGATGCTCTATATGGCCCCTATATGGCCCCAGGATGCTCTATATGGCCCAGAAACACCCCACACAGCCCCTGCAATGCCCTATATGGCCCCAGGATGCTCTATACAGCCCCGGGATGCCCTATATGGCCCAGAGACATCCCACACAGCCCCCACCACCACCTCTATGACCCCCGGACACTATATATGGCCCAGAAACACCCCACACAGCCCCTGTGATGTCCTATATGGCCCCAGGATGCCCTATATGGACCAGAGACATCCCACACAGCCCCTGCAAGGCCCCATATGGCCCCAGGATGCTCTATATGGCCCACAAACACCCCACACAGCCCCTGCAATGCCCCATATGGCCCCAGGATGCTCTATATGGCCCCAGGATGCCCTATATGGACCAGAGACATCCCACACAGCCCCTGCAATGCCCTATATGGCCCCAGGATGCTCTATATGGCCCCGGGATGCCCTATATGGCCCAGAAACACCCCACATGGTGCCTGCTACCACCTATATGGCCCTGGGATGCTCTATAGGGCCCAGAGACACCCCACACAGCCCCAAGGATGCCCCACACAGCCCCTGCCCTGCCCCATACAGTCCAGAGATGCCCCATACAGCCCCCGGGATGCTCTATATGGCCCTGGGATGCTCTATATTGCCCAGAGACACCCCTATAGCCCCTGCCATGACCTATATGGCCCCAGGATGCTCTATACAGCCCCATATGGCTCCAGGATGCTCTATATGGCCCAGAGACACCCCACACAGCCCCTGCAATGCCCTATATGGCCCCAGGATGCTCTATACAGCCCCATATGGCTCCAGGATGCTCTATATGGCCCAGAGACACCCCACACAGCCCCTGCAATGCCCTATATGGCCCCAGGATGCTCTATACAGCCCCATATGGCTCCAGGATGCTCTATATGGCCCAGAAACACCCCACACAGCCCCTGGGATGCCCTATATGGCCCCAGGATCCTCTATAGGGCCCAGAGACACCCCATACAGCCCCTGGGATGCCCCATACAGCCCCCTGGATGCCCTATATGGCCCAGAGACACCACCTATATGGCCCCTGGACGCTCTATACAGCCCAGAGACACCCCTATAGTCCCTGCCATGACCTATATAGCCCCAGGATGCGGATGCCCTATATGGCCCCAGGATCCTCTATAGGGCCCAGAGACACCCCATACAGCCCCTGGGATGCCCCATACAGCCCCCTGGATGCCCTATATGGCCCAGAGACACCACCTATATGGCCCC